GACGAGACCGAGTTTTCTACACTTAAACACTTAGACACTTAAAGTAAAAAGGAAATTGATTTTTTTTCACGAGAATTCTAGCCGCTTGGGTTTCAATTTGTTTCTGTTTTCCTTTCGTTTGTAATTTTTTTTTTGGTCAACATGTGAATCAACATAAGAATTTTCTCAACCTCTATTGTCTTCATTAAAGTGCCTATGACACGAAATTTTTTTTGCATTTTCTGGTCGACAGCTGTATTCAAGATTGGACATAATTGACCTTAGCGCCAAGCGAGTGCTCCGTGACCATTTTTTGGGCATTGAAAGTACGATTTGGTGGCCAAAAAGTGTCGCCCTTAAGCGCGCTGCCAAAACGATCATGTTACACAGCTGTGACGTAGAAAACTGTGAAGATAAGTCGGCAACTTTGGTGGAGAAAGGAGAAATCTAGATGAAAGGACGAACGTATTGCGTGGCCAAAGTGCCAAATGATGCTAGCTTCAAGAATAATACACATATACCGGGTATTTCTATACATTACTTTCCAAAGGATGTGGCTGTATGACCAAAATGGACGCGGTTCGATCGTCGACGTCGAGGAGATTTTGCTCTTCAATGTCGTCGGCCTTATGCTCCGTACCGGCTTCAAAGACGCCTATTACGAACACTTATCATTGGTCAAATCAGGGAAAGATAACCAGGAATTCAGCTAAAAAAAGAATGCAGATTAAGGAACCTGTTCCCACGCCATACACGATCGTTCAACATTCTTTTTGAATGACATTTCAGAAGCGAAGAATGGTGAGCTCTTTATTGTTGTTTAGTTCATGCGCTTGAGATGTACTTATACTCCTTGTCTTTCCACATGACTACATTTGCGCTTTTCTCATCGTATGAAAATCCTACCAATTGTAGTTTCCATCGTATTTTAATAACAGAAATACATTATTTGTAATGAAGTTCAAGCCTTTTCCTGAGCTGATCCATATCCTGTTACGTGAACAGTGCGAAACCTCTGGCATAAACACAAGCTCGAAACGGCCGTGTATTCTCCTATCCAAGGTTTCCGAAGATCCATCCCACGAGCCATCAATTCCCCCCTGCCCTCAAGAAACTAAAAGAAGCAACAGTAGCGATGTCCTTGTAATAACAGCACTGCAACGAGATTAATAGAGAAACACAAATTTTATTGAATTAGATGGTAGCGAATCCAAGAGCTGTGTTAAAGTCGACGCGTACGAAATATTCATTCATAATACTGATGCCACTAGTGATGCACCACTGCAATACTGCAATGCTTAAGCTAAAGAAGTTTTTCTCTATTAAAATCCCTATTTCAGATTAACTTGAATCAGATGACTATAAACTCATTCGTTTTCAGTTCGGTTTGACCAGCGCGACAATAACCTCGTGATACAGCTGATTCTTTCGTCAAAAGTTAACTTTGGGTCTACAAAGGGAATTTCTCTACAGCAACGAAACTCTAGAGCACTGACCGAGGGGAACCTTCGCCGCACACCGAAATTCTTCCTTTCCTCCTTTTTCCCCTCCTTCATCTTCTCTTTACTACCCACCTCACTTCAATTCCTCCCACACTTCTTTCCATCGTCCTGCCCTCCTTGCCCGTTTTCCACCCTTTATCGCTCCGTTCCTTTGTCCTTCTCACCAACCCCCTTTACCTTCCCTCTTCATCCTTCCTCCCACCCATTTCATCCCCTTCC